TAAATAATCTAATTGTTCATCTAATCATTGTCAATAACAAGACTTCTGATAGCACAAATGTTTCACACACTTTGATTTTTAGCTGCTAGCCTGCTACTAAGCTGAGAAAAATATTGATAACACTAAGCGGAACCATAACTCAACAAATTCACATGAAATTCAATAGAAAATTAGAAATCACCTGCAGAAGCTCCAAAGAGAGAATTCTGGTCTTCGTTGTAACTTCATCACTGTCTTCCTTCATACCCATCTGCAGAGGTTATATTGACATTTCAGGAAGGCTCTAAATTGATGGTGCGAGAAAAAGCACAATAAAGCAACAAGAATGCAACATTGTATAGAAAACTGACCTTGCAAAGTGTGCGGAATACCAGTAATGCATCACGTTCACCAATGTTCATACTCTCAAGGTCTATCCCTCTACAAAGGCATCAAATTCAATTTCAAGCAACAGAAGAGTAGCATCACGAGAAAGAGATGCCGGAGTGACATCCAAAGACCATCTAAATGTCCTTACCTAGTTATCTTTTTGCCATCTTCAATGTGCACAGCTTTGTCTAGAACAGCCTCTAAACCCTGCCCAACAGTCAAAGTTATTTCTCAGAACCCGTACAAACTGAGGCGGAACGAACACAATAGTAGAACAAACAACAGGAGTAAGCCATGACAAATATATGAATTAAGTGAAAAAGACAAGATGCACCTTGATATCAGCGCCACCAGCGAGATTTTGAAGCTCCTCAACAGATGCAAGAGATGTGTCTTTGGCCTGATTGAGTGCATCTCCCAGAGTCATTCCTTCCTCATTTTGGTCAGAAGACGAAATTTCGTCAACTTTCACATCTGATTTTACAGCTGAAGTAGTTTCTTGGTTTCCAGAACCTAATGATGCGGAAACTTGAATTTGCTGCCAGAAAGTAACGACTGAGTAAGGATAAGGAGACCATCAAATGTTTTCTCCATTTTGACCCAACATTTAGAAACTGCGATTGAGAAGTTATAAAGCCATACAGGGTCAGTTTCCATTCTTCTGAAAACAATGCTGATCATCTGTGTCAACATGGCCTTTGACGTTGCTTGATTGATGGGGCTCTTGCTGAACATGCAAACTAGAAATGATGAGCATTACTCTAGACTGAAGGTATTATCTCATGGTGATTATCAAAAGAAGCACCTGTGAAGAGCTATGTTGTAGCATATTCTGATAACTCCTAACAAAGACTCCCCGTGTACTGCATCCAAAAAAATTAGGGACATGAAAATTTGGGGGGGGAAAAGGGAAAAGGTGAAGCTAGGTCAGTATATATAATGAGCATAGATCCTTTTTCAGAGGAAGGATACCCCACGCTGTGTAATATAATTTTTCGAGCCCCTTCTCATCTAATTTAATCTTCAACTCATCATGAAACATCAAATCGTTTTGCCTACCCCGCATCATAAAATCCTGTTTTTTAGTTTTGAGTGACCCAAAAAATTACATGAATTTATTTCACAAACACATCAATTGCAACACCAACAACCAATATCCTAAAGCTATCAAAATCCAATAGGCAAAAGTAAGCATTCATTTGGCCGTTAGTACTAATTTTGTCCAAGACAAAATGATATGTTGGATACAGGTACAAAATAGCAAAATGCACATAGCTAAAGCAACCAGAATGAGCAAACATGCAGAAATATTTGCCATTCACAATCAATGTACCTCTAAACTTCGTGGATGCTACTGCAGTTAGGAGTACCTTCAACACTTGCAGAATTGTACTGCAAAATAATTATTGGTAAGTTAACAACTCCATCTAACACACAAGCACAAGAACAGAATTGTAAGTCAGACATTGAATGAGCATCTTCATAAAGAAGAAAATACCAAATGAGCATGCCTACCTGTCAGGGGATGAATTGTCAACGCAATTGCAAACCATATTCAAAATGTCAGTAAACAAAGGGACATTTTGGCCACCATCTAAACCAGGATCACCCTCTAAGTGATCGTACGCGATAAGTTTCTGCACAGAAATTGAAACCAGATAGCAGAAACAGTGAGATAAAAGTGCATGGAGGCATATACAGACTCCAGAATCAGCAGGAATCACAAAATCCACTAAACCATCTTCCACTGAGCTAAAGGCTGAAGAGTGCTATTATAGACATCAAAAGAATTAGATTGGGTACATGAAGGCAATCCAAGGCCGGCTCTAAGATTTTCAGACTCTTCGTCTCAAATGCCAATCGGAGAGGGTCCAAAACAAGCTCTGCTTCAGATCCATCTAAAGTGTGGCCAGCACTTGCCAAGGCAGTCGAAATAGTTCGACTGATGCTTACTGGCTTCGCCTCCTGAGAAGAATGTGGATCATTATGTGCCTGCTCAGTTTCTCCTGCAGATTTTACTCCACTTTCTGGCTCATGCGAACTGCAAGAAAAGATGAAGGTCAAAACTACAATGATTGACTGGCTCTACGCAGGCACTTTTCCTGAACCAGTAACCTCATTAAGAAAGGAGTGGCCATCGTAGGTAACTACATTGTGCTGCAACTTGACATATATGACTAACTACACTACAGTATGACACGTTGTGGTGCACCTTCACATCTATAACTAACCAGACTGCAGTATGACAGGTAAGAAATTATACTTATTATAGCTCAAGGCATATGCACCAATAAATTTAAGGTAAATGAAGGCTGTATGGTAACATGAGCAAGAATGACATCTCTTCTGCGTAGAAACCCAGCAAGAAATAACAAAAGGGCTCTAAACATGAAGCAGTAGGATATACGGAGGAAGTTGGCAAAGAAAAAGAAAAGACTAAAAAGCATACAAGGAACAACAGATCCCAATACGCAGTGACGGGGAGGAGAGAGAGAAGCTAGGCTGTATTGGAAAGAAAAAAATATTTAAGACAGCCACAGGAATGCTTGAGGTAAAAAAAAAACAGCAAGAGACAGCCTGGTACATCGAGGAACCAGTAAATATACCCAAAAATTAAAAAGAGGAAACAGTAGGATAGTGCCTATAAGATCTGTAAGAACTTGTTTAGCCATGATACTTCTGATTGATGCTCAGAGATCCCTAAGGAAGATCTGCCACTTCCACATCTTCTACCTGTACAATCTACACCCCCCTTCCCCACAAAAACAAAACAAAAAAACTTGTGCGTAATGCTCAACTATTTTAAAAAAAGAAATCTTAAACTGACTTTAAAAATAATCTGGCCCTCACTTTCGCTTATAAATCTCCACTTGGGCATTACAAACTTAGCCACAGTAATGCATGATGAAGTTCTCCTAGGCCATCTTAAACTGCGAAGGAGGACAAAATCCTCGCCAATGTGAGTGGGCAAAAGTCAATAAACACCTCAAACCAACTTCTCCATCCAATAAAACTTTAATTTCTGCTTATATTATAGTCAAAAAGTCCCATATGAAGGGGGAAAGGAATCTTCTTAAACATTCTACTTCCACCAAGGAGACATCTAATTTTCCTACGCAAAAGGAATCGCATAAAATAGGTCATGCAGAAAGCATGAAAGTCTTTATTCAAACCCTGAGAGTAGCAACTTTATGGAAAATGAGGACAATAGTTCTTGAATAACCAGAACAGATGTTGAATTTTGCATCCTTCAAATATTCATACGAGTTTATGAACGTCATCAAATTAGAGTTTTCATATCTGCAAAATTAAGTAACTAAATTCCCCACTCCATAGTTAATGGCAAGGTGAACAGCAACAAGCAATAATATTGGATAATGAGTTACTCCAACTGACCTAACATCTCCAGTTGATGAATCTGTCTCGCTGGTCTCACCAGCCTTCGGTTTCTGGGTGATCTCTTTTGTACTATCTGTTATCACCATATATCACAAAAGAAGGAAGAAAAAAAAATAGATCAGAGCTGCAAGGCCGGCGACAACCACAATGAGGTACAACAGAATTCTCATTGTACAAATAGCTAACAACTCCTAAAATACATGATTCCCAAACAAGGAAGCTGATAAGTCCCTTAAAATCAGCATCTTGCAAGCAATGACTCACAGATTTCGATAGGATACAAATAAGAAGTCACTCATCAGTAAAACCTCCAACAGTTCACGGCATTTTCGAAACTACCAAGCAACCCCTAAGAGCTGCTTGTGCTCAATTGTGAAGTGGCCATTGTCAGGTTAAGACAGTAAAAAGCACTGCAGATAGAACCTTAGGCAGCAGAGGTGGGCAAGGGAAAACAGTTAGCTGAGAACTGTTACATATTGTTAATGAAACAAAATTGAAACAGAAATAGTCATCCCAATTCCAAAGCTATAGGACGCCTATCTTAAACTCTAGCGGATCAACGGGGGCTCATTCAGCACCAGACATACAAATGGCAATCTACACCATAGCATATAATTCAAACAACCCGATCCACAAGTTGGCAACTGCGTATAGGATCACTGAAAATCTTACACATATAATTTCAAAGTATTGTGTGAACTTGGCAACAGCAAATCAAGAAGAAGCAGTTATAATCAGATAGCCACAAGCATGAATGGAAGTCCTAGAGGCTAGAAATGGCGACTCAGCAAGAGGGAACGGGAATACGGGGGGGAAATGTAGTGAATTCCGCGATCCAGCTAGCCACGATGACGAGAGGCACCAACCTAGATATGTTCGAATAGACTTTTGAAGATCAGGAAACTTCTTGCCGGAGCATTCCTTGAGAATGGTATCGAATGCTCGGTTGACGAAGCCGCCAGCTGCCATTTCTTCTCCCCTTGAACCCAAAACAGACAAATCAACGAGGAATTCGCAGCATTCGCAGCTCGGAGGCAGTCGAACGCATTCAGTGAAACGAGTGGAGTGGAGCGAATCTCAATGCAAAAAGAGAGGCGGGGAGAGATTCGGAACCAGGAGGCAAGGAATCGTGAGTCGGGCACGATTGATCAATGGAGCGATCACGGAGACGAAGGAGAAACAAAAGGATTGTTGAAAGTTGAAACGGCGAGAAGAGATCTGGGGGAATGAAGGGGGAAGCAATGGAGTCGAGACTGGATCTGTCTGGTAACTATGCGTAACAGCCAGACGATGACCGGGTTCTGATTTGGAGGGGAGAGCGAGACTAGAGAGAAGAGAAGGAAGCCAGTCCGCCGGGTAAAATACCAATTTGATCACCAAAATCCAAGGTTGTCAAACTAGATCGTATGAAGTCGGTTTGACAAGTGATTTGAAATGTAACTAGCTTATACCCTGCCCAAAGGGCAGGTAGTATTTTTTTAAATAATCAAATCGTATATATATTTTATAATATTTAAATTATCAATTTGTTATGGAGTACTATAACGTTGTGTTTTAAGATTAATAAGAAAGTTCCCATAAGTTGAAGTCGATGAGAAAACGTTCACATCAAAGATTGAAATACCATACAGGAAAATTTTTTGGTAGGGTATTTTATGCTAAAATCCTGATTCTATTGTTTCATACAGTTAAACATGGCTTATCATTTTAGCCTCTGATAGAAAGTTTTTCTGGTCGAACCATAGGTACGGTTTTTCAATCCGTGGTTCACATCTTCTCAATTATATGCACCATTTCAAGAGATTTATCATGTATATGTCTATAGAATAAAAAAAACTATGATGTACTAAAAAAAGGGGCTTAAGAATTAAGAAACTTTCTTTATTTTTACCATAGAAAGCGTAATTACACTACTTACCTAAAAAAGGTGTAATTACTAATTTGCATTCATACCGTTCCACGTAGAAAAGCCCTAAACAAAAAAAAAAAAAATCCAAAACCCAGTATCGTTCCCCTGTAGCCAAGCGGCATCGGTGTAGACGGAGAGCACAGAGTTCAAATCAACACACTTGTCGGATTGGTAGCGCCGTAGTGCGATAAGGAAGACTCATCGGAGGAGAGAGTTCCATCTGATTGAAGAGACGGCTTCGGCGATTGAAAAAGAGATCCAACCATTGTAGCTGGAGGGAAAACAGAATTGCAATCGCGATTAAGGACCGAATTGTTGGAGTTGCAGGAACGGGAGGAGGAAGGGATGAGAGGGTCGGGATCGGAGTCGGAATTGGAAGTGGAGTAAGCGCAAGAAGAGGCAGCAACGTGATACAACAATTCGTAGAATTGTCGTCCTTGTCATGTTCGCCACCGTCGGCTTCCTTATTGCTGTTGATTTGTTGTTGTCTTTCTCGTTCATCGCCTAATCTGGCGGCGAACAGAGGAGGAGGATTGGAGGAGTGAATAATCTGAGTCTAGGTTCGAGTTTGAATGCAAGGATATTGTTTTCAAGGCGTAAGATTCCCTTATGAGAGAACGGAAAAAATAGAAGAAGAAAGAGAAAAAGCCATCAGTTCCGTTCGAGAAGAAACTTAAACGACTAAAAAAAAATACATATATCCGGAAAACGCGGGGAGGCCTCCAAGGCTGACGTGGAGAGGGCCATTTTCTTAAACTACTTTAATATATTTTAAGATGTTCGGATCGGGTTTAATCATTTTTTGAATTAATATATGATTATATTTTGTAAAAAAAACAGAGTAAACTAATTGTAATATAATATATGAGAAACTTTTTTTTATTATTCAGGAACCTCAGTCTCACGTGTCACTTTGTGACAACGGGTCCTACTTGTTATAAACGCGCTGCTACAGATCGGGAAATCGCCAAAATCGAGAAATCAAGAATACGAAAGCGAGAATCGAAAACACGACACACGATTTACGTGGTTCACTAACACGATGTGTGTTAGCTAGTCCACGGGCGAGAGAGAGTTAGTTTCACTATATCGAGGAGATTACAGATTACAAAGGAGATCTCCATGTGGGTCTAAATCTAATCCAATCTGGCAAATGAAACGGTTACAGACCAGGCCCAGAACCCGAACCCAAATAATATTGACCCCTGACTATTCCAATCGTAGCGGCTGATAGTCCGATTCAAGTCACATCAACACTACTAAATCTGGGGGTCACCTGCAATCAAATTCAACGCCAACGTAGCTTCGCCCCCAGCAACCTGGTACCTCCGGGAATACCAACGAGCCTCGCTTGGATTCGAAACTGGGATCTGCAACCCCCAAACCTTCACTGTTGCGGCAACTTTACAGTTTGACTATCTTGCCTTTGGTCATATGAAAAACATTTAATACCAAATAGATTATGCATATATTTAACATATTTTCAAACATTATCACTATTCTGAATTTATATCTTACCCTATTATTAGGGATGGCAAAAATATTAGTAACTGTGGATATCCGTCGGCATACGGCCTAATCGGGTTCGGATTTTATCTGAACCCGAAGGATTTTATAAAACTCAAACCCGAATATTGCGGGTAATGATGGATATGGTTTTCTTACTCACTATCTAACCCGATTATTGTCATACTTTTCCTCTTATGTAATATGAGAATACGTGTGAGTGTTAACCTATTGTTTGGATAACCGTGGATACCCGAATCCGAACCGATATGGGCATATTTTGATTTTTTACTCGTTTCTTATGTGGGTATGGATGTGGGTAAAAGCGGAACTACTTTGGGTAGGGTAACGAATATGCATTATCCGCCCCCGACACCACCCATTGTCATTCTTACAAATTATCAATCATCATCTTCAAACCCGGTTTGGATTGGTCAAACAACCATATTTTAACAAATTTAACCTGGTTATGGCTAGTTTAACCCAGTTTTGACTTTTTTAGAACCGTCCAACCGGAGTGTATTTCAACAGTTTAGATGATCAGTTATGGTCGGACTCGATTAAGCCAGTTGGCCTGATACAGATTTGACAACTTTGCCAAAACCACCTATATGTGGATTTTCCAATAATAAATTTTTTAAGAAATTATAATCATAGCAGTACCCTACAATTAGTTTTCAATCTAGAAGTATAGGAAAACAAAATTGCTAATATAGTTGGGTTTTTGTTGATTTGGTGGTGGGAGAAAGAAGGTCAGAAGTCTAACAAGCGACATACTTGTATCGCAATCCAAAAAGCGACATTGCTAAATTCGCCAGTCAAACTAGTGATATATGTTTTTAAAGTAGTCAAACTGGTGTGCATGAGTGTCTTTCAACATATCAAAACACTTCGAACAATGTGTCTAATAAATATCAAGATAGAGAGAAAATCTTAGGTACTACCGGCGCATGGCTTATGTGGTGCACTGCCCCAATCACAAATTTACACATTTTTAATTGTTTAATATAAAAAATTTCTATGGAATCCCTATTTCTGTGTGCGGAGACAGTATATCCCGGTGATGATCTGATCCCTGGCAAGGAATGTTCAGGTTATCGACACCCGCTGATTCACTATCCTTTGTCTAGGCCATGATCTACCCATCAATACGTCGATTGACGTCATTCCTTATGGCGCCTCCGCCTCGGCTGCCCGTCATTCGTCTTGCCTTGCGGCGCCTCCATTGCCGGCGTTTATTGCCGGCGAACCCTCTCTTACCGATTCACTAGGTCGGGCATACGTTTACACACGAGAGTCCATCATCCTCCGGGAACTATTCGGAATGATGGAGTTGGATTTGGCGTCGAGACTCACCTGCTATCTTCCCACGCACAAAAAATATCCATATATAACTGGTGCTAGTAGGAAGATAAATGGTTTCATGAACAATTAACTCATTATGACGACAAGAAGGAGGAATCAATTAAGTTGGGACTTAGGATGGAGGAAAATGATTACTGATGAAATTGAGATGATACACCAAGGATGCTTTGTTGGGACTTGCGATGGAGTCTAAATCAGCGCCACGAAATTCCTTCCGACCACTATTCTTCAATGCTCAATATTAATATTTTTTAATTATTATTTATAAATTATGTATATATATGTGCCATGCTTTAATTGGGGTGGTGCACAGCCTAGCTGGTATGCCAGGTGCACCCAAGATTTTCCCTCAAGATAGATATCCTTAGTTGCAAAAAAAAAATATTAAGGATAGTTTTCGTAACATCCCGGTTACGTCTATTGAAAAAATACTTAAACTACCCTTCACTCAACAACTAATAGCCTAATTACAACTAACGCAATAAAACCCAATACTACAAGGAATTCGAGGGGAAAATTATAAAGGTTAACCTAAGACTTAAAACGCTAAGCAAGGAGCCGTCCAACCTTTTGTTCACACTCGATCTCTTTCACTCTCTGACACTCTCTTCATTGTGACACCACCATTATAGAGATTGCATCATGGCCTTATGGCTTGTCAGGGCCAGCGAGAGAACACAGATAGGTCATGGAATGAGGGTAACCGTGATGTAAGGTGTCCATGACGACTCGAAGATAGTACAACAAGGCAGCATGGGAAGCGAAAAGAAACACCATGTTGGATCACTCATTGGAGGAAGATCGTTCATATAGGAGAAATGGATGATGTGGGTTGAAGAAGGCAACCACTATTTTCTCCTCCAAAGAGAGAAAAAGCTTTAGTTACGGTCAATATAGTCAAAATCGAGATTTTATGTAAAATAAAAAACTGAGATAAAATCGAAATCGTAGATTAAAATCGTAAAATTTTAAGGCTCATATTAAAATTATCATTTAAAACATCATATACTAATAATAATGCATATCCTAAACAATAACCAACCACGTATCACTTAATTGATTCTCAAGATAAGTTTGTCTGCTAAATAAACACAAATAAAACCATTAATTTGTTCTTGTTCATACAATAAACAAAAAAAAAAGCAACTTGAAATCTCATAGGAATCGCTTAATCAAGTTTATAGTAAAAAATCACATACGATCGTTAAGATCAACATTAACATCTAAATCGTCAACATCGACATCGTCATCCTCATAAAATCCTTGTTTATTTGCTTGAGCAATGATAACATTATTCTCGAGATCACTTCAAGTACTCTCAACACCAACCATATTTCCTTGATCGCGATAATCCTGCAAAGGCAACTCATTGATTGATGCATTCTCTTCTTGATCAAAAGAAGTTAAGGGATAGTGGCACGACAATTTTGGGAGATGAACAAAATCTTGAAAGGGGATGAGGGCTGGGCTAATTGCGAGGTTGATGGGGACAGTGGCGGACCCAGGATTTTGGGATAGGTGTGTCGACCAATAAA